GGGATGATTGTCCTACTGCATTTGTCCGTCAACCCTCCCCCACCCTGGTGCCATCCTGGCACAAGCTAAATGAATTAAACTCCCATTAAATATGTATTTCGTTCTTAATCATTTGCAAGCGAAGAGGATTAGGTTGCAATTTGTGAAATGACATCAAATCTATCCCTTCTCAAAAATAGCCTCTTGAAATGGCATTAAACTGAATACTATGATCCATCAAAGACTCTCTTAAGCAATAAAATGAGAAAATCTGTAAATCCATAAAACAGATAAGACAATGACCTGAGCATAATTCTCATAATACAACAGCCATATGTTTACTCTAGCTGCTTATGTTAATGGATTTGCAATCTAAATGTATTTATATTTGATCTCATTGTCTCTCTCTCTCTCCCTTCCATCTATCTATTTAGCCTACAAACAAATTTAGTATACAATAAAGACACGACTATTATAATTCTAGCCTTTCAACCTTCGGAAACACTAAATTATTTTCAGACATAATTAATTAAAGGTGTATTAAAGGTATTAAACGATCCATCTCTGGAAACATTGCTGACGCTCAGGCTGAAATGGTGATGTGAAAATAACTAATTCGGTAGCACATGTAGAATTGGAGAACAGGATTGGAGAAGAAAGCCAAGAATCTTAAGCCAAAGCTGTTAACTGGAGAGAAATGGAGGGAAAAAGTAAGACGTGAAAGCACCAAATATCCTGCAATGTGTGTTCAAACCACACAGCTTAAAGGGAAGCTAAGAGAAAACAGAAGCACAAACCACCAAGCTGCTGTAACCTCCAACCTGCTTCTGGCTGAAGTTCAGATTCTCATTCACAGAGTACATTTAAAAATCTCTGCATTTGATCGATCTTCCTCTGATTACATTCCACATAGGCAGAAGTTAGTACTCAAAAATATGAACATTTAAAGCCCGTGTAGGTAAGAACCTTCTCATAAGAAAAAAATACAGCTCGGGCTTGATACAACTTGAATTTTAAAGTGCATATTTCATAATTTCAAAGGTCATTGTTATCGCAAGAGTCCAACGAGCTAGGTGCTGGTGCTGCTGGTGCACAATCCCCACTATCTCCAAGGCCGCAGGCAACGTTGCCCATGTCATCCTTATGTTTTATTCATACGAGTCATATTATGGCATTCAGAAACTGAGATCAAAATCTGCTCTGGCAGAAATATTTAATATCATACCTACTTCTCTATCCTTCTCCATCTGGTTAGCCAGAATGAGAGAGAGGGGTAGACAGGCTCCCTCAGCTCAGACATGTTGGATTATTAAAAGTGAGGCTTTCAGAGAGGTCACTGCTTAGGAAAAAGAAAATGCAGCATGCATCAATTATCTTGGAGAGTTTGTGGCATACTGAGAACTGTCTTGTCACATTTCCCAATATGGCTGAGCTACAGAGAGGTCTCTGCCTGGTGCTGACATTTAGAAGTTGGTAAATTGTGAAAATCCCAGTCAATTTGTGCAAAAAAAGAAGAAAAAAATGAAGAAGAAAAGAACACACTGACTGCTCACAAAGCCCCTCCAGGCTTGAAATATCTTCTCAGTGTCATTGGCATAACTACACACAGGCACCCAGCTCTGTCACTATTATTTTTCATGTGTGAACAACTGTGACTTTCATTGATCAATACACGGCTTACTGGCATTGCTTGAGGACACAGTCTAATTCTAGCTATTTGCAACATTAAATGTAACATGCCGCCTGAAAACAGCCCATTGCTTCGACAAGACCAATGGATAAATGGGCCAATGGACTAATAAAATGACCACAATCACATTGGACGTGCCTTCTGGAGAACAAGCTTTTGCCTTTTCTATATGTCGTGCACAGCTTTCAATCTCTTTCGTATCCCGATGGAAGCTGGTAACAAAACTGAAGGATATACACTATGTGAAATATGTATAACATTACACATGTGTGTCCTTTATGAAAAAATATGTCTCTCTACATACATGGACGAAACTTGACGTAACGTGTAAACATAACCTCTGTTTTGTTTGGAAGCGTTGTGCTAGGTATCAAAGTAAATATAGAATTCCTTCATAGCTAAGACAGATAAGTTCTGCTCCTCCTACACACTATCCTCTTCCTTCAGTTCAAATCTATGTGAAGCAGATTTCCACGAAATCCCCTCCCATCCTCCTGTTCTTGTCCTCCGAGTTCTCCTATCTCCGGCTCGGTGGCGGCATGGGGAGAAGTGGCATACCTTTGTTCATGTCAATCAGCTGCTTCTTCTTCTGCTGGCGCTCCTGCTTCTCACGCTCTGCCTTCTCCTTCGCCAGCTTGGCTCTCTTGATCTTCTCCTCCATCTCCCTTTTCTTGTGGTTCTCCTTCACTGCTTCCTGATGAGACACACGCACAGAGACACAAACACAGATAAAATCAGAATTTGGCTCCTGCCACAACCACTTTTTTAAGCATATTCACTACTGTATAGTGTTCAGAAGCAGCAGCATGTCATTAGGAAATTCTACTCAGAGGAAAGTTTGATAGTTACAGATAAACTGCTGGAAAAAAACAAAAACAAAACAGCATATCATACTTTATGTGTGGGGCCACAAACATTCAACTGCTAGACTTACAAAGTTTTCTTATCACAAGCTCATTTGTTATGAAAAAGACATCAATATGGTTGTATGGACATGCCGCAACATTAAAAAGTGTAGCAGAAATGTGATGGTCTCTGAGGAGGGAAAAAGATATAATCTTTGGCCTACTTCGTGGCCAGCTGAAATGTCAGGAGTCAGAGAAAGAGAGATAATCAACAGTACGTATTCAGCCTTTACAAATGTGTCAGTTTGTTCTTGTGCCAACAGAGAATAAGATGCAACCAAGTGACCTTTGAAGAAAAAAGTTGTCTCATTTCAGGTCTGTGGTGCAGCCCTGCACAGGACCCATTGTAGGTGGGTGTACACGTGGGAACGGTTATGCTGTATGTATACATATACATGCATATGTGCCTATGGTGAAAGCCATTTTTGCGCTCCTGCTTATTGTGGCGTTCCCCTCATGCATGTGTGTGTGCATCCGTAAGTGAAGGCATGGCCCTGTCTGTGCACTGATATAATAAGTGGCGACAGTAGGCCCCCATCTAATGCCCCTGTGGTCCTGATGTGTGTGTCGTGTTGGCAGCTAAGACAGGGGGATTATGGGGATTGTGGGAAAGGAACAAGGAAAAAGCAGCTCATCATGCCAGTCAATAGCAGAGCTTTTCTCCATGTCCAAGGACACAAGCCCTCATTGTCACTGTCTCCTTGTTAGATGACAAGGGCAACGAGAGAGAGCAAGAGAGAGATAGAGGGACAAAGAGGGGTAAAGGGGTGTTGTAATAATGAAGTCGTAATAGAATAAAAGAAAGTAATTTAAAAAACAGGGGAGAGTGTTAGTATTAACTGCATTTTGAAAATGGACCAAGTTAAATTATCTTTCTGTGGCTGAAAAAGATTTGTAAACACTCACATTTCAAGCAATATTTTATCATCATCGCATTCAAGCTGTGCAAATGAAACAGATACACAAACTAGTCCGAACACTATGTTGCTATTTGGAGTTAGTAAGGCAGTGCATGGGTATATATTTAGCAAAACACTTAACTTTTTGCTCAAATAAGAGATTATTTGAGTTCAAAATGTTCAAAATGTTTGTCACCGTCCGCTGACAAGATTCATTTTGGGGATACTGTCACTGTAATGCTCGACACTTACAGCATTAGTAGCTGTAAATTATGCAGATTGCATAAAAAATCCTGTCGGCAAAACTTATTTTAAACAAACAACTAATTCTGACTGTAAACATGATTATGCAACATAATCATGTTGCTCTAATCAAACGGCACGACTAATTACCATAGCACCAAATATGTGCTCGCTCTACCATTCTCTTTGGCCACCCCAATTTTGCCACTGGCAGCGACTGATTGTATCAAGTCTCATTTTCTTGGCAGCTCTGTATCGTAGGAAGACACAGGAGGGGAAACCATCATCATCATGAGATCTGCTTAACAAAAACACACCTCATACAGACAACCTGATTTAAACCCATATAACACGTAAGGCAAGAATTCGGGTTCCTCTTGAAATGCTTAGATATTGTTTATAAATTCTGAGACTAAGTTATGAAAGCACATGCGTTGCAGTTGGTCTCCAAAGCACTTTCGACTGCTCAAGATCAAAGTACAAGTAACAATATAATTTGAAGTAACCATGAAAATGTTTATTTTTGGCCATGGCATTGGTCTCTAGGTGATGCTCATTACTATAATTAGTCGCACAAGAGGTTAATTATTTATTAATTTTTTAAAAATTTTAATAAAAAAAAAAAGACATCGTTCTGTTACTTAATGAGCTAAACAATATATAAGATTCATTAACCTCTGTGTTACTGATGCGTGTTACACTACAACACTGTATACAAAACGAGTAATGACTTTTCTATCTTACTATATCCATAACCTGAATGTTACCTTGCTGCAAGTCCCCAGTCTGTTAATGCTTTATTTTTTGTTTGTTTTTCTTTAACCTTGATTTTTTTAATGTCGCTGATTCCACAGAAGTTAGTCCTGGGGCTCACACTCCAATCATTTATATACACAAAGGCCACTCCATACGGCACACCTGTCCAACCGCTTGTTAACCCAAATATCTAATTAACCAATCCCGTGGCAGCATCTCGGTGCATTTAGGCATGTAGACATGGTCAAGACAATCTGCTTAATTTCAAAGTGAGAATCTCAATCTGGAAGAAAGATTATTTTGAAAAAGTGACTTTGAATGTGGCAAGGCTCTTGGTACTGACTATTTCAGAAACTGATGATCTTCTGGGATTTTCTTACACAACCCCTCTCTAGGCCGTACAGAGAGTAGTACAGAAAAGAGAAAATATCCAGTGAGCAGCAGTTTTTTCACTAAAGATGTCTTGTTGATGCCAGAGGTCAGAGGAGAATGGCCCAAACTGCTTCTAGGTGAGAGGAAGGCAACAGTAACACAAATAAGCACACATTATCACAAAGGCATGCAGACGAACATCTCTGAATGAAGAGCATAGTGAACCTTGAAGCAGATGGGCTACAACAGACCAAGTCCACACTTGGTTCCAGATCTCAAACCAACAGACCATATTTGAGATGTGTTGGAACAGCTGAGTCACATAATGCTGTTTGTTTACAGCACCTTTAGTAATCTATGCCACAAAAAATGATGGCAGTTCAGGCACTCGCAAGGTGTAACTAATGAAGTGGCCTGTGATTGTAGTGGGTCTTCAAAATACCTGATCCAAGGTGGCTGCAAAGTGCCAGCGCAAATTAAATTGATGGATTATATTACCTGACCACCTGTGACACACAGCAAATCTAAGTGCAAATCTAATTTTAGTCAAGGTGCAGCAAATTTCTCATTTAATTGAGCAGAGACTTTTCAAATTCAAATGTTGCAACACATAAAAACAGCAGCCGGTATATTTTTACTGAGTTTGCTGGTGGGCAAATGATATTTCTATTGAGCACCGGAGGTTTTTGTTCACAAACGAAATGGAAATGCTCTTCGAGAAAATACATTTAGCTTAAAAACTGGCCTTTGAATATCCACCGCAACGACTGTTATCTTTTATAGCGACAATTTAACCCCACAACCCTTAAATAAAGCTGTAAAACCTGCATTTATGGGCCCTGGCTGTGCTCTGTATGGATGTTTAAACCGAGAGACAAAACAAAATGTGGTTTTGTAAAATAGCATCTTCAAGTATGATTGACAACATCACCACTGAAGCAGCACACTGCAGCACCGAGGCTCACAGAGGCCACGAGATGAGAGTGCGTGTCACACTCAGTGTGTTTGCGATGGAGATTGTAGGTACTCTTCTCTCTATACTTGGCTTGAAACTGAATGCTGTGGAACATCCACGTCCAACCCACCAACGAGGCCACGCAGACTTTTCCCTTTCCAGGTCCGTTCTTTCAATAATTCATGAAATGTGTTTGCTGTTCTTCCTTGACCCTTTACAACACAATACATCTCCCACAGCATGGTTCCCCTCCCATGCATACAGGTTTGCCAGTCCAATGAGGGAGCAATAAGTATTTCCAACTGCTCAGTCGCACCAGTGATCTCACACAGAGAGTGTCACTGCTATATCTCATTTGAATTTTACAAACACTACAACGCCTGGGCTTTAAGCAGCAAATGTGTTTATTAGCCATCTGTTACACTGTGTGCCAGGATGTTGGGGAAATGTCTTCAAGAAGTTATAGGTTACAGATTGTGAGACTTCTGCTCTGCAGTATACATGTATTCCCATATTGATAGGTGACCTCTAAAATCTGGTGCAAAGAATTGAATGACTGTGCACCACTAGAAGCATCCTGAGGAAATGTGACAGTGATTCAGCAAGAAGGTAGAGCTCAGTCTTTGCCAGAGCGTCATCTTTAGCATCATCAGCTTGATTATGATCATTTCTCATATTGTGAAGGAATTAGGGAGCTTTAGAAATATCATGCGGGCTAAGAAGTGGACGGATCCACCCCCACACACAGACACAGAAACCATCATTCTAATCTCTTAGATGCTCTATCTCGCTACTTTGTGAACCCAGTTTGGGTCTTTTGGTCTTATTAGAAAGTCACTCAATTAACAAGGAAGACTGTTAGTTCATCCCAGCCCATCTGCTGTGCTTTGATAACTCATTAATGAAAAAATCCTCATCCCCATGCTCCTGGTCAGGATTACGTATAAAGACCCTGCGATTGCATTTCACTCATACTCAATTTCAGAATATGGCAGCAGCATTAAATTAACAAATTGTTGGACTCTTGGAATACTGAGTCCATGTACTGAAATCAAATAATAATTCATTGGCCACAGGAAAAAAGAGAGAATGGGAAAGGAGTGAGGGAGAAAAAGAGAATGAAACAGAAGGGAAATCGAGTTAATGGATTCTCTTATCAGTTACATTCAGTTCTGTGAGGACTGTCTGTCAATGCGTTTACTCAAATGCCTCATGTCGGTCGGGTGCATTAAGCCCTAGCTTTTTAGCAAAAGCAATTTAGGGTGACTGTATTGCAATGGAATTCTTTAATACTGCAGATGCTTTGTGATGTGAATGCATTGCACAAGGCAATGCAACACAGACGGAAGAAAGTCAAACAATGCAATGTCTCAATATTGAAATAAGAGTGTGAGACACACCAGGCATATTAAGAAGTTAAATTTACTTGAATTCCAATTTGCCAGTTGGAACAAATCAGCAGCGGCTGATGCAGGTCAACCTTTTCAAAGATAAATAACATGATGCAGGTATCTCCCTAAAATTGCTTCACTGACAAGAAAAGCTAAGAAGAAGCTTTCGCTGTGCTGAAAAGAAGCTAGCGCAGTTGTTCTCACAGGGTAAGAGAAATAAAAGTATAAACAAGCATTGATTTCTTGTGCTCTGCGAGCAGATGAGATTAGCATTCCTGTCAGCAGAGCTGAAAAGCCGAAAACTATAAATAATATCTGAAAAATATGGTGATTAAAGGATTGTTGTTATATGAATATATTAACTCATAATCCAACCCCCATTTCACAAAACTATATCCCAGTCATTTCCCTCCCCTTAACCATAGAAGGAAAGTTTAAATCAGTAATAAAATATTCATCTGCAGCTATTTGCTTGAGAGAATAATTTATTTTCTTGGGTGGATGCTTCTTTTAGAGACATGCAACTCTGGAATCCTCAAGGGAGCGTTATGTTGTATGGTTGTGCACTTTGATCAGCGGGAATGAAAAGTTGGTTTCAAATGGGGATCAGAGAAAAGAGAGGAAAGGATTCAGACAAGGGGACCTTGCCATTCACATTAATAGATGGTGAAGACTGAGGGTGTGCCGTCTGGACACGGTGTCATCATCCTGACACCAGGAGCTTTCGGGGCATTGCCGGTAGGGATGACTAGACTGTTCAAGGTGGAAAACCACAGACGCTTGAATGAATGTTTAACAGACTACTTAACAGAGGATGTTTATCTTATCATTAATATTACCTCTTACACACTAATCTCTCTTGCCCTTTATTCACTGCTGTAAGTAGCAGAGGCTGTTTTTTTATTTCCCTTAATCCAATTTAAAATGCTACGTCACATTTAGTGAACCTCAAACCTTTCTCATCGCATTTCTCAGATATCGTATATGATATATATACTTTTTATTGCAGACAAAACATACTTTATAATCAGTGGAAAGATATATTTTTATTGTATTTACATATATGTGAAAGAATAAATATGTAAATGACCCTGTTTACCAGGTTATGAAGCTTGTTGACGCTTCTTTTATTAGTAGTCTTGCTTTGATTGACCTGTTTTATTTTTTCTTTGTAACTTAGGACGCTTTCTTCCAGTTCTCAAGTCAAGGACGTTTGACATGAGGAGAAAGTTTACATTTATCTGCTCTTTTTCCTAAAAATCGACATGTTAAATGTTAAATATTGGGTGTTAAAAAAAAACAATCGGCCTCATTTCTGAAAATGAGGTTCAGAACAAAGACAGGTAAATCAAACATGGCGTGACAGTAATTCTCCTGTTTATTAACATGTTGTTCACCAAACCCAAATATTTTGAATAAACATTAAAGAAATATTAAAGAAAGAAAATCTTGACAGATTATCAGATGACGGATATTATTTCACCATCGTTGTTCACGTAATGATTTACGTTTCATAATTTCTTTTTTGGCTTTGAAGATGTACCAAGTCTGCCAAAATAACCGAGGTAAGACCATAGTGATGTCTTTGGAGTTGTTGTGATTGAAAACATGAGGAAAAATTATAAGCAGAAGAAGTCTGAGTTATGGACTAACAGTGTAGAGTTTGAAAGCTGTAAGCATTTACCTGACAGGAAGGGTTGAGAAGCTGTTGAGGTGCATTATGGAAAATTTGCTTTCAGAGCTGCTCCATTACTAATGACTACCTCAGCCTCTTCTGCTTAGATTTTGATATTTCTCTTTTGTATATCCTTCCAAAGTCCTTCAAACTAATGGAAGTGCGATACGACATAATCGGCGTCCCCTTTTTCTATTCAAGTGCATCCATGAAAGTGCAGCAGTGTAATTTTCGCACAAGTTTTCACCACCTGTCAGGACCCTGGAAGTTTGATGAAAATGTGTGCATGTGTAATACACAACCTCTGTTCTCAATTCACTGACACCCAGTGTGTGCAAGTAAGCGTGTGCGAAAGTATGCGCACGTGTGGGTGGGGGCTTCTGTTAGTCAACGTACGTGCCTACTTTGAAGGAACGTGTTCGTGTTCGTGTGCAAAAAATCAGAAAGTTTGCACTTACCATGAAGAGCATGCGGAAGGTGGCCAGTTCTCCGAAGAATTCTTCCACACTGACCGAGTGGGGGTCAAAGGCAAAATAACTGCCTATATTTTCATACAGCTTCTGCATGTTCTTGTGCATGGTGGACAATTTTTCATACTGCTCCCTGGAACTCTTGCTGAAGCCGTGAGAAGCAGAGAGTCAAGGAAAAAAGGAGAAAGACATGTCTCAAACATACACAAAGCATATTCAAAAATAATCTCCAATATAATCTCACATCTCACAAGCGTGTTGATCTCTAGAAAAACAAGTCATTGTGAAAAATGATCACTTTCACAAGCTTTATAGCATTCAAAAAGCCCACCTATGCCAAGGTCAGCAAAACAAAATACTAGATAAAGAAGGGTCAGAGACAATCTAATGTGGCATTACAATAACCTCTCCATCTCACTTTGGAGTCAATGGCATGGTGAGCTAATAGCTGCAGCCCTGGAGTAATGGAAAGGTGTTTTGTAGTCAGCAGCATGACACAGATGGTTGCTGGAAAAGCTGATTGCAGTCATTGTTCTATTGTTTCTCACAACAACAGTGGGGTCAGGTTGTTTTGAACCTCACAGCTCACGTCGCACTGTGTAATTTACTGAACAGGCGGAGCACTTTTCTCCTGGTGAATGACTATTGACAGCCAGCATCAGTTAAGCATTATCGCAGCAGCCATTGACCTCTCATAGAGACTGCACTTGGACACTCGGAGACTCACATAGTCTAGGTGAGATGAGGACGACACAAAAATACACATATCTACCAACATTTACAGACATGCAAGTACATGCTAGCAAGCAGTCAAGTATGGAGAAAAAAACACTATAGAAACTCGAGTAGTGCTAGTTTCAGTACACAGGCGGTGGTGTCTGACACCTGCTGTGCCTTCAATCAGTTCCATCTTCTTTCTTAAGAGGCTATTTTTGTATCTGTCACATCTGCAGTGGCACGAAGCTAAATGGCTTGAGGTGTGCCTTTTTGTTCTTGCAATTGCAGGAACTCCTAGCATTATGTCAAGGCAAAGAGGTAAGCGCGGAAACTGCTCTGTTGTTGGCTGCACTGAGCAGCACAAATCACTACATCAGTCCCCAGCCTCAGGCGACAGAAGAGCTGAGTAGAAAAAGTTTATTTTTGATGGCGAGGTCCCAGCTACAGTTAGCAAAAAGCTGTACTCATGTTACAGTGTAGCCACACTGTATTTGAACATGCTAGCAGCCTACATCATTACAATACAAGGCTGGCTATAAAACCTTTCCTGAAAAAGGTTTTAATACCAAATTTCTGTGTTTTTATTGAATTTTTATTGGAGTTTTATATGAATTACATTTCATCAACCCACTTAAACGACTAGAGAATGAAATGAGAGAATTGGCATAGACATATCTGCACTTGATTTTAGAGACACTCCCATGCTGAAGGCCATTTCCCCTGTGCTTCATGTAGCTGTTACAGTTATATTCCACTCAGGTATTCAGAAGTTGGTAAAGTTGGCAAGCTACAAAAGGATAGTGAATCTTAAACTCTCTCTACCATGCCCCCAGAAGCCGTCAAAGGGTCAACCACAAATCCAAAAACATTTTTTTAGCAGTAAAGTAGGATACAAGTTGAATTCTAGTAAAATAGTTGTGTATATGACAGACCTGTCTGGTTTGATTTGGACCTTCGAAGCCATTGCTCGCAAACACACAGCAGAAATGGCACAGTCCAGGTTCATAGCAAGCTCCTCCTTTTCTTTCCTCTTCCTTGTCTTTATTCCTGTTTGTGATTTACCCCCTTGTTTCTCCCAGACTGCTTTTATATCGTCTTTTATACACCTCCCCTTCATTCGACATGTGTGTGAAAACCTGAAGGTCTGATAGATAAATGTAAACGTAAAACCTTGCCAAAGTAATATATCTATTCAGTGTAGGAGCTGCATTTGTTTCATGAAGTCTAAACACTATCCTCCCTTCTCTTCTCTAAAAGGTCCAGTCTACCAAGTGGTGGCACTTCATCCAAAAACACCAATATAGTCACTGTTGATTGCCAGACTGGGATATATTAACAACCTCCAATTCTAACAATTATAAAATAATAATTGTGAAAATATACAAATGTGAAATATTTATATTACTATTTATGAAGTGCAAACAAGAATGAGACTCGTTCCAAATCAATGTGTCAGTTTTGGTGCAAAAAGCATCACGACACCTTATCATTCGACAGCGGCACAGATACTTTGCATACAATATTGATTCCACAGTATTGACGACTGAGTGCACAGTCCCTTTGGTTCTGAAAATGTTCAGGTCACAACTGTTGCCTCATTGCAGAATGGCAGTTAAGCATTGAGACAGTGGTTATGTGTAGTGCTTGTTGTGGCTTGTGGCTCTCTGCATTTCCTTTTCTCTACTTTTCTCTCCTCTCTCTGTTTTCGCTCACTCAAATACTCATGTATGCACATGCACTGTGGTAGATGTGGCCCACTGGGGACTGGACTGAGGCTGGCTGGGGTTTTGCTCCTTGTATTTCCACATCAAAGACATGTCATATTGATGGAGCCTGACGCACACTATCCTGCAGCAACACAACCGGTATGGTAGAGCCTTCATCCAACACGCATACAGAAACGGAATGAACAGGCAAATAGACTCTCACACACACACACACACACACACACACACACACAGTCGCAATGCCATTCTTTGAATGTCTTTCTGTCAGGATGTCTGTTACTATTTTCTTTCCCTTACTTTCTCACAGTCATTGCAGCCTTTATTCTCTCTCCTCTGTAAAGATAAATTTTTTCTTGATCCGTCTCCTTTACTTTCTTCCTGTCCACCACTGTCTCAATCAAACACATTCCCTTTATAATTCTCTTTTTACATTTCCCCATCATATTCTCTCCATTAAATTCCCTCACTCAAACAAGCAGTTCTTTCTTTCTCCTTTACTTAGAGAAAACTTTCAGAAGTATGTAGTCTGAACTGTGTCTGGTATTCCAGTCACTTTGGCTTGAAGCAGAGCAGGGAGCAGAGGGGATGAGTCTCAAGGTAAAGCAGCATGCAGCCTTTGGTTGCCCTGACCCTGTTCGTCAGTCTTTGCTCTCCTCTTCTAGTTGTCCTCAAAGGGCCACTGCCTGTGCTTCCTGAAGACTAAACCTCATCAACACAGAACAGGACAACTGCGCCTGCTTGAGGGCTCAATGTTACAAATGTGGAGTTTATGTAGTTTGACAGGTTCGATTTTTTTCTTAAATTGCCACTCTATAGTGGTACATCTTGTCAGTTTTGAACTTTTTTACAAGTCTTTATTTCATGTGGTTAAACACTAAAAACTAAGTGAAGCTGATATATTTGAAAGATAAACATATTTAGTCTAAAAGGAGCTTGCAAAATAGCAGCTGGTCGCAAACCCCTGGCTTACGTAGCAACACAAGTTTCTGACTATCATAACTGATGGTGCTGGCTTACACGACGTAAGATACGAAGTGTGGTGTCAGTGCAAAGCATTGCTTTACTGTAGGTTTTAAATTCTCTTTCTCTTTACCAAAACCCAACCTGCCCTTGTACAATTTCAAAATTCTGTCTTTGTCCTAGTACAGTGTCCTCATTACTGTGTTTAATCAGTGCATGGCATGCCAAAAAGGCCACATTTAACATCAGTAAGCTGTGATTAAGTCCGCTTGTTTTCATCACCATAACGTAACATCAAAATCATATCCAAGTCAGACTTACCCTAGATGTTAAAAAGGCTTTTTGGAGCCAAACTCAATTCAATGTCATGATAAATCCCAAAGAAATAGACAAATCCATTTGTGGGCAAAAACAAAGTTAAGACAGTTTTTACAATGGCCACCTATGAGGATGGCAATAAATTACCTGCTTTGTTTACCTGTGTGCATGAGAGAATTATTAAAGTGCTGCATAAAACCCTACAGTGGGGCCCCAAAAAGCCTCCTTAATAAATCTCTTGTAACCTAGTTCCATTAATGTTTATTTAATGCTTTTGCTTGCTGGCCCTTCCATCCAAGGCCCCACGCTAAGCCTGCTTTTCTCCAAACCCCACTATCCCTGCTCCCTTTATCCCCACACCTACTGCCAACAGCCCCTGTGGGCCAAATTACACCAAGGCTGCCCACTGACTGGACATAACCCATCATGTTGAGAGCGAGAACGGGATGAGAAAGGGATGAAGGAATTGAGAGCAGAGGCAGGGCAGACAGAGAGAGTGAGAGAGAGAAGGTTGTTCCTTAATAAATTAATGAATGAGTAAACTATTTGTAACTGTTGCTGCTTAGACATTCAAAAATCTGCATTTCTGCTTGCATCACTTCTCTCATCTGCATATGAAAACTGAAGAAGTGGGATAAACTTAAATGCTTTAATACTGTGGGGGGGTCAGGAGGGCAAGCAGGCGGAAGCTGCCAAAATTTCAAAGAGGCACGTGCCTTCATATTGAAGGATGCAGTGTGGAAAATCTCACAACTAGATCTCAGTATTATACAATTGAAGTTGTTTTCTTACTCTCCCAATTAAAGCAGATAATCCTAGCTATGATGGCCTTCTCTCTCTACTGCTTTAAAATTTGCCTAGTCCTCCACCCTTTGTGTAATACATGTGGTCGGTCTCCAGCCAGAGTTTTAAGTTTATGTCAATGTATTTTGTTGGACAACTTATTTACTCACTAATCAATGTAAATGTATGATTACAATATTCTTTTTTTCTATTAAATAACATCAAAAAACGGTTTCATTAAAAAGAAAACTGAGAATTCCTCTCCTCAAGTTCTATTGACAAATCGGGTTTAGTAGACATTGGTTGCATGCAAGTAAACAATCTATGTAGAAGGCAAAGGAGAAATTGTATTTGCAATTATACATAACACGATTTTTCCATCCCAAGAGCTCTCGCAACAATAAAAAAGCAAATAAAAATAAAAATAATCAAAAACAAAACATACCTTCTACAATCACTTGATAAATGAATACAGACTGCTAAAAACATGACAAAACTTAATCAGTAGTTAAATATATGTATTAAAAAATATGAATGTTTTAGGTGCCTTAAACCTCAGCTCGTATTTGTCTGAAATGTGAGCCTATTTGTCGTACTTAAAAATGCAAGAATTCAAGACAGGCTCATTTTACAATGTGGGAATAATTA